GAAGTATCCCAGGAATGGAAAAAGAAACATCACATATACTCACAATTACACTGGTATGAATTGTTCAAAACTTATAGGCACTTACAGAAATAACATACATCGGGTGTCAGGCTGATGGGAAGGGAGGAGAGGATGGGTAAAATCACACCTAACTGGTGCAGTGCCCACTGTCTAGGGGATGGGCACACTTGTAGCTCTGAATCGGCGGGTGACAAGGCAGTTTATGTAACCAAAGTGTTTGTACTCTGTAATATTCTGAAATAAAATAAAGAAAGTGAAGTAATAAACAATTTTATTCAAATAAGAAAAAGAAGTAGTATGTCTACAAAGTTCAGGGATAAAACATATAAGCTGATTTATGATGAAGCATTCCTCCTGTTCCTATCCCCAAGCTCTCGACTGTCATCGTTCCCAGCCCTACACAAAAGTAAACCTTCTTCAGGAGTTTGCTGTATGTGCTTACATACATTTATTTTATGGAGATAGCATATACAGATATATGCCCTCCCCTCCATACAAGTAGTGAAATAATTCACAGGATCCTGCACCTTTCTTTTTTTTCCTCCTTAACAATATGAAAGAATGAATTTTTAACAGTCAATTTTACATACTAGTCACTGGCGACTTTTCGAGACTTGAGACACCTCCTTATGCTTCTCTCACCAGGACAGCTACCAATCCCCCCACTTCACTGGTTCCATTCAGGCATCCTGATTCCAAACCTTAGCAGTTTCCAAATAATTACATATAAATTATGAGAGTTTATTTTATGTAAACTACATGCCACCTTGCAAAAACTAGTCCCCATCATTAATTTAAACAAGATGCCACCAACCTTTGCTCTTCATCTCCCGGCTATATCATCTTCAACTAGTAGTAAGAGAAATTCAACTGGTGCTTATCATGCCCAGCATAAATATTGTTTCCCAGCACCAGCAACTTTTCTACCCCTTAGTGGCAGTTTTCAAGATAATACCTTACTTTTTGTTGCAATTTACAAATGATCTCTTTCTATTTCCTCAGAAGTTGGATGCACCTCTTACTTCCTTGTAGACAAATAAATGGACACCAAGATAAGTGACTGTGTGTAAGTCTAGCCATTTTTCCCTAGAATGTCTTTCTTGATAAGGAATCTTAAACTTCTTGGACAACCTCTTTGCTTGAATTTCCCAACTTGGGGGTATTCCTACCTTCTGCCCTCCACAAGGTGGTTGGAGTCAGGATTGGCTTTTAGTCCCTGGTCTCCCACCATCTTTCCTTCCCTGTGCTGTCCCTCTCCTTCAAGGAAAGGGAGAAGCCAGCTGGGGGCTGTATATCAAGTGCTGCTGGGCCCTCCTCAGCAATAAATGAACTGGGAAAACCACCCATTTCCCAACTTTCTGAGGTAGCTTCTGAGCTGATTAATCAAAGATTGTAAAATATGCCCAGCTCTGTTCTCTCCAATTATGAATAGAGACCTTCAGGCCTTGAGTCACTCAGGTTCTATGCATAAATGGAAGTGTGAAAATTCAAATTCAAACCAGAGAAGTACACATTTTATAAAAGGGAAACAAATATTCTTTGAAAGTGTCTTGCACCTACTGAATTTTGTTCTCCAAGTCCCCTAACACGATGAAACATCTACCTCTTGGGGCTCCTTTTCCTCAAGTGGTTGTCAGACCTCTCTGGCAGCTCCAGAATGTGCTTATCATTTGTATAATATAACTTTAGCCTGATCTAAAACTATGGATTCCCTTTAAGGCTTCTTTTCTCCATTCAATGAGTCTTTTACATCATGCTTAAGATTGCTGTAAAAGTATGACCTAATTATTACAGAAGTTCTTATTTAGGCACACAGAAATTTGTGCCACTGTAGGCTTAGTTGCCAACTGCTAATTTTCATTCCCACTAAAGCACCTCTCTACCAAGTCTTGAAATCATTTGCTCTTTCTTTTTGCTGTTTTCATAAGAAAAATAATTATATAAGTAGTTTACAGAAATCTAAACCCAGTTATTTGTTTGAATGACAGTTATTAGGGCTGATTTGAAGTGAATTGTCATCTGATCCTCTGCCCTCAAGGACAGAATAAGTCTATTTCCCAAATAAATGTGTCATTGCCTTTTCATTCAGATCATTGTTACCTTAATTGAAAATATTTAATCTGTAAAGTTATCCAGCTCACATTTGACTACACACTTAACATGATGGGAAGATTAACTTTTCTAGGAAAATAGCCGGATTGGTTTCAAATATATTATACATCAAGGCAGATTGCCTTTTGCTTTACTATGGTCTCTTAGGTTTAAATCCTAGCTTCAAGGTTTACATGTTAACTGACCTTGAGTTTATTATTATCTAACCTCCTTGGGCCTCTTTTTCTTTGTCTGCTGAGTGGGAATGATAGTGATACCAACAGTACTTGATGTGGTAAAGATTAATTATAAAATTGAAATTAAAATTGTAAAATTAAAATCTGGTTTACTAATTCTATTTTTGCCTAAGCTTTGTTTTTATCCCTTCAAAATCAAAGTCTAATTATTTTCCTGTAATTTTTTCAAAAGGACAAAAAAGAATATTAGTTATAGAATTTTGATTTCTCAGCATGCCAAAGAAACGTGAGAAATTGAATTATTTAAGCAGGCATGCAAAAAAGTTTCATTTCATGGTTATTATTAATGTTTGATTATCCCAAGGTAATGTGGAAAATATAAAAGCTACTTTTTATTTGTGTTTATCTAAGATTAGCATTATATAATTATTTGAAATCATTTATATTGATTGGTATTCATGGACAAGATGGATGGAGGAAGAAATGGAGGTAGTGATCTGAAAGACCAGGAGCAGAGATGGTAAAGACTAGCCTACAGATAAAGGAAAATTGACCACGGATCAGATATTCAATAGGTATCCATAAGTAGATGATTATCACTTTTATTCTACTTAGTACAGTTTGATTCCAAATTTGTAAAGAATGTGTACTTCTGTAAGGGTGCAATTGTGATTGGTAAAAGTTATGGGAGAAAGAGATGTGAGACATTTTTTAAATGGTACAAACCAAAATGTTAATAGTGCTTATATGTTTTAGAATACCAAATGATTTTTCTTTTTTAGCTGTTTTTGCATTAGTGACATTTTATATAATTAATGTATATTAATTTATAATCAGTAATAAAGTCAATCTTTAAAAGGACAATTATATAAGAAGTTAATAGTGTACAATTTTAGAAGCATGTTTATTGTTTTAAAAGCTTCATATATTTGTATTTTGTGAGTTTTCACCTGTGATTAAATTTTTATTAATAGTAAAGCAAATGAGTGATTTGACGATTTCAGGTTTTGGTATTGTCCGAAAATGAATACTATATCTGGGATATACTTTTTCTACTTTGGGCTTATTTTAATATTATGTTTCATATATACCTTTTATTTCAGAATATTATGGGAAAATTGCATATTTTCATCTGCTTTCTTTAGGTGAAATTCACTGTGAATATGTACACAATCTTTAGTAAATCATACAATATTTCTTATAACATGTCCAAATTCATCTTAGAATAATAGAATATTGGAGTGATAATGTATCCTAGAGAAGATTTAGTTCAGGCATAGAATGTTGATGATTTTAGGTCATTATTATTCCCAGTACTTTAAAAGGCTGTATGACTAAGTAAATAAAATATAGGACTACAAAACAAGCAGCTTTATTGCCCTGAGTTTTATTTTGGACAAGATTTGGTGTTTTATATAAATGCTACGCCGCCATGGGACATCTGAGTTCAAAGTCCCAGATGTAGTCCAACTCCCTCTATTTGTTCATTTGGGTAGTAACCTAACTCCCCTCCCTAACTCTACTTTTATCAATTTGGATTCCAAGGGATCCTTCCCTTGATACCAGATATTTAATAAATATCAGTGACCTGTAATACCTACAAATATGACTGTGAGAAAAGCACTTATTGACTAAGTTTAAATTTTAAAAAATGGAGTCAATGGCACTATAGTTGAGGGTGGTCTTTGTACCAAGGTATGGGATAGGTTAATCAGTTATTTTAAGGCAGAGATTTGATTATAATATGTAAAGATTAACTATAATGACTACTATTCATTGAGTTTTTATACTTGATCTTAACCAAAAAGCTGAGAAGCCATATATTCATTGAGTTTTTATATGCCAGGGACTTACATATTGTTATATACACTATCTCATTTATTACTCAGACAGCCTATAAGGTAGATTTGTATTATCCTGTTTTACAGGTGAGGAAAATAAGGCTTAAATGAGTAACTTGCCCAAGGCTCATCATAACTATTATAGTAATTAGGTCAAGTTTTCTTTTTATCTTTTATCTCCCCCTACAAACATTAAAGACTTGAACTACTAGATTACTTTTCAGTTGGGATTAGTTCCAGGTTTAGAAGTAACCTAATACAGTTTCTTCACTGGTCTGAGGTGTCTCCTAGGAACAATATATAATTTTGACCTTTAGTCAACATCTGTTTACTACACTTTGGGGGTGGAGAGGGAGTTGAGAAGGAATGTCTTATGGAAGGGGACCCCAAACAGAACCATTAGAAAACAAAATGTTTATCAATGAAGTATTTGAGTACCGGAGGCTTACAATGGCCTAAACTAGCACATACTGTTAATGGTGGGGATCAGTGATGAGAATCCTGTAGTTGGATATGGAGAGTGATATTTGACTTATATTTTTAAGGGGAATTATTTGGTATAATTGGTAAAGGGAAAAACCCTCATTCCTTATTTTTCCCTATAAAATGTCATAGGTGAAAATGTGAATGACTCCAAGTCTTGAAAAAGACTCTTGGCTTCTGATTGACCATTTTAGTGAGAATCCAGAGTGAACATAATGGTGTATTTGTAATTTCTTGTCATGGAGAATACACGCTGTAGTTCCTTTGAACTAACAAATCTGGTTCATTGAACCCAGACATTTGTTCATCTGATATTTTCCATCTTATGATAATACTAATTTTCAATTATTTTGTCTTGTATTTTCAGAAGGAGTTTTGGAGTACCTACACAAAAGCGCAACAAGGAGAGAGTAACAGAGGAAGTGACTGGTTTCAATTTTACCTTACCTTTCCATTAATCTTTGGCCTCTTCATTATCCTCCTTGTCATTTTCCTAATCTGGAGATGCTTCCTAAGAAACAAAACTCGTAGACAGACAGTGACTGAAGGCCACATTCCTTTCCCTCAGCACCTGAATATTATCACTCCACCTCCCCCACCAGACGAAGTGTTTGATAGCAGTGGATTATCTCCAGGCTTTCTGGAATATGTAGTTGGGCGCTCAGATTCTGTCTCCACTCGCCTGTCCAACTGTGATCCCCCACCAACCTATGAGGAAGCCACTGGCCAGGTGAACCTGCGGAGGAGTGAAACAGAACCTCATTTAGACCCACCCCCGGAATATGAGGACATAGTCAACTCCAATTCAGCCAGTGCCATTGCCATGGTGCCTGTGGTCACCACCATCAAATGAAGCTGCAAACTTCTTTTTACTCTAATCATTTTTAAAATACTAATGAAAGAACTTTCTAGCACTTTACCACTACATAAATGTGCATTGACTTATTTTATTGGACTCTTACAGCATACCACTTCACACTTTCTGGTTTGATTTCCTTTAGTTTTGTTTCTTATTATAAAATCATTATCCATGCTCATTTTTGCTAGAGGAAATATATGAAGAAGAAAAAAACATACTAGTGGGGGTCTTCATGTGATGTGATGAGATATACATGTGTATATGTATGTATATGCATATATACATGTGCATGAATCAACATAGTACATGTACAACTATATTAAAAATCCATTAACTTCTATCTAAATCACCTAGAAAGAGAGTATTACTTACAAAATCAAAAAAACAAGGACACCGACAGTTGTTGTAATAGCCAACAACATGCTGTAAAATTTTGCAAACAGGATGTATTTAGCATGTTTTCTAATTCCTACTGGCTTTTGTTAATCTTCTATTTCTTCATCTATCTTAAAAGGAAAAATATCATATAGTCATTCTTGGTTTTAGAAACATCTCAGAGAGAAAGAACGAGTGCAGGAACATATAATAAGTGATAACTTGCTTACAGTGTACAGTAAGAAAATCATCAGTCATGAGTGGCATTTGCCTTGTTCTGTACTAGGGATTTTTTTTTTTTTTGGTTGACCATCCCCCCACTTTCAAAATTAAACAGTATTTTATTAGCATCTTTGTGTCATGCTGTGTGTATTAACATCATGATAGGGAAGATTTTCTGGCAGTGCAATAATTTCTAAAGTGGATATATGTATTAATGACAGGCAACAGATACCAAGTATTCCTTTGCTTACACATGGCATAATTATTTTCTTCTTGCTATTTCATTGCCTTTTACTCTGTTTACTCTTTCTCCTACCACTACAGAATCTTCAAGCCCTTAAGAGTTTAGTTAAATAAAATTTTTGAAATTATTTTCTTAATGTTTTTATACAGGCTGAGGTCTTTGCCTCAAGATTATTAGAAGGCAATTTTCCATTAAATTTATGAACTGTGATTTTTTTATATTGCCCTCCAATTGATAGAAGAAGATTGCAAAGTCTGTGTTATCCCTCATGCACAGTAAATCTATTGATAGCCCCACATAGATCTCATTACTGTTGCTGTTTTGTTTTGTATTTTTATCAGATTTTTTTAAACTGCAGAGTTTTTACTTTTCCTTTGGAACAGAGGGAATGGGCTGTAAAGGAACTACCAACATCAACTGTCTCAGAAAGAAAAAAAATAAGACAGTTGTTTCATAAAGTTCCCATTATGAATGCACAGGTGGCAAATTCATTAGATCAGGTCAGGGAAATGTCTGTGCCACTCCCAAGCCTTCTTAGCCTTAGATAAAATGGTTGAGGCAGAAGGAATGTAGGTTTCAAGTGTGTCATTCCCTGCTACCTCCATCTCCATCCCCACAGACCCCTCCCCCAATGCTGCCCTAAAACCAAAATAAGGAGGAACTCTGGGGTCATCCTCAAGTAGGAGCCTGATGACCTGAATTCCAATCCCCCTCTACCATGTACTTGCCAAGGTACCTGGGGCAAGACCCATATCTGACCCCCAAACTCCTCACCTCTAAAATAGGGATAATATCATTTGTCCTGCCCTTATCGTGGGCTTTAAAAGGCTCAAATGAGGTGCTGTGTGTGCAACTAATTTGTAAACCTTACTAATAGTAAGGTTATAGTGTTGTTATTATTGTGCTTCAGGGAGAATTTTCTCCCTGTATTTCCCTAAAATTTATCAGAGCTTTCAAATAGTGCAAAATAGGGCAGGCTGCTCTGTAAATAGCTAATGTATTCCTAATTTGAGTATGTGGGCTATTATTTAACCCCTGGCTATACTCTGGTCTATACCAAAGCTGTGGCAACTTAAAGTGATAGCCCACTCAGCACAAACAGCATTAAGCAAATGTTAGAAAGGGAACTAAAGAGTGTGTGCTTAGTTAATAGGTTTTACATCTTTCATGGACTAAACATGATTGATTATATCTTGACCTTGGTCTCAGAAATGACAAATTAAAAAATTTTGACATGAGTACACATCAATCTTTGGCTTCTAGTTAAAGCTGAAGTTGGGAGTGTTTGATCCAATAACTTGTGTGGATTTTTTGGTTTATTTTTAAATGAAAATTAAGGCTCCTTTTGCATGAACTTTTTTATCATTAATGTCAGGCTTTAGATTAGACCTGCAGTTTTCAAAGTGTGGCCCTTGGACCCCTGGGGTTTCTTGAGAGCCTTTCAGGGAGTCTGTGAGATCAAAATACTTTCATAATAACATGAAGACATTATTTGTCTTTTCACTCAAATTCTCTCAAAAAAGAGTTGAAAATGTAAAACAATGCCATCTTCCCACAAATCTTTCTTTCTGTTTTAGAAAATATAGCTATTTTTCATTTAAAATGTTATTTATGTTAGCATGTAATGGGTTATTATTTTTAAATGAATTAATACTTTTAAAACTTTCAGTTTATTTTCTAATATGGTACATATTGATAGATATAAACCTGATAAACAAAAGCTCTTCGGCATCCAGATCCTCATTAAATTTTAAGAGTATAAAGGCTTCTGGAGACCAAAAGTTTGAGAATTATAAAATTAGACAAAGGAGCAAGATATTCTTTTACTAAGTATTCTTGCAGTTTTATTTTACACTTTAGACTCCTAATATTGCATTTAATACTGCCTATTAAAGATACCCAAATTGCAATATCAGAATGAATGTTGATCCTTGAAGCAAAAGACAAATGCTTAAACTGATCAATGACTACCACTTTTCAGACTGTTGGTCCATGAAAACACTACTCCATAGTAATAAGTGTATCAGCGACAGATCTCCTGGTGGCTTTCACATGATGATGACAGGATAAACAAAATAATGCTTTCTTCAAGAAACATTATCTTAGATTTGTTTGTTTTGTTTGAATTTGGTTTGGATTTTATATTTTTAAGGTCCCTTTTGCTACCCCATCTGGTTTTATAAACTGAGTTTCTTAGCAATTGTTATAATTAAGGGGGTTGTCTAGATTAATACATATTTTTTATGCTTTTGCCTTTCTTACCTGGTTGATATTACATTCACCTTTGATTGTTTTTAATAAAGGTTTATTTTTGCAGAATATACTTAATACCTTTCTTAAGCAGTAACTAAATTGAATCAACCAGTTAGCATTTAAATAAAAGAACAGGCTCAGTGGTCTTTCAACAGAATGGTTTATGAGCCTCCACATGCAGAAGTTGTCTGGAATCTTAGAACTGACACTTTCTGCTTCCCTACTCTAACACAGTAAATTGTATTTGTTTAAAGTAATTAAAAATGATTTATTCTTTTCCTGTTGACCAGTACAAATAGAGATGTGTTTGTTTCATTGCTAATGATGACTTCAAGAGTGATGATCTGATCCAATAACTGCAGAGGTAGCTTTAACTTGGTTCTGTGTAAATAGTAGGTATTTTATTATAATATTTCACATTTTAAAATGCTTGGTTTACATTAAATTATGGTATTTAACTATTTTTATGTTTATACTAGGTAGGGTCTTTCTTATGTTTCTGTGTTTTTGGTATGCTAAATAAAGCTATTTTTAAACCCAAGAGATTTCTTCTGCCATGTGTTAATCATATTATGGTTAAGTGATAAACATGCTGCAGAAGCTCTTACTAATTATTGTCTTTTGAATAAGGTAAAATGATTATGTTTCCTTTTTTTTGTTAAGAATTTTGGGATATCACTCAGTAAAGAAATAAGAAATCATTTGATGAAAACTTCAGAGTGTTCTCAGCATAAGAAAGAACTTTCTGTACTACTTTTAAGTGACTTTAATATGATACAAAATGGAAACACCTGCTCAAAAGGGTTAGTTAGGGTTAAATTGAGGTCCCTACTGTAATGTAGTTTGTCAAGTCCTGGAACTGGTGGCTATAGATACCAAGAAGCTGGTTTTTTCCTTCTTAGCAGAACAGCAAGTGTTTGACCTGAGAAGATGAGAAAAGAAAGCACAAGATGAGACCATTGAGGTCACAGAGCATCATCTTCCTATGTGTAGTTACCTTAATGACTAAAAACTGGTGTGTCATGTCATTAACCAAGCATATGTAAATATGAGTTGCTCTTTATAGTGTAAAAAATTACGTTTATTTACTCTATATTCAAGGTAGAATTTTAAATATAAATTATAAGTCTGAGTATCCATTTTGTAAGCACAAGTCCCCAGAGAGTTATCCAAATAGTCATCAAAAGATGCTTTTAAAAATATGTAGCAATTATATAGTTTATAACTCGATGACTAAAACTATTAAACCCAGCACCTAGATCAAGACATTTCTAGTACCCTAGAAGGCTTCCTCATACCCACTCCTTAAAATACCACTATTCTAACATCTGTCATAAAAGATTGTTTTTTGAAAGTTCCTACTTGGCTGTGGCCATATGGACTTTTTTTTTAAGCTCTTAAGGTATTTCAGAAAAGTTCGAGCTAGAAGTTCTAGAGCTGCTCTTCCATCTCTTGACCCGCCTTGAAGTCACCTACTTGTTCTCTCTGAGCCTTTTCTACATTCCTAAGCTTTTTGAGGCCAAGAATTGTGTTTAATACTTTCAACTGCCGTCCCCAAATACATCAAATACCTAAAAATGAGGGCTTTTTTTTAGGCTATGAATTGACCAAAGCACCGGTAGCTTTCTGGTTGGTTTCCTTAATGCTTATCTTTCTGCTGTAATTCTTAACCACCTGCCATTTTCTTAAACTTGTATCATGACATTTTATTCTCAGTAATTTTACTTTATCTCCTTCTCTGGTTTTTTTTGTTTTGGTGTTTTTTTTTTTTTTTGTTACTTCCAAAATTCTATGGTCCCACTAGCTCATCTAACCTTATTTTCTTTTATACCTCAGATGATAGACTTTTACAGAATGCTACTTTGTGTGAGACCCTAAGGAGATTAGAAAGTGATAGTGTCTCTTGTCCCTGGGGATTTTGCAATCAGACAAAAACTTGGAAAACCTTCTAATCTTCTAACTAGGTTTCTAACCTTAACTCCATTCCAGCTTATGAAGCTGCTTCTTGCCTTAAGTCCCATAGTATTTACAAGTAGTCATCTTTATCACACAGTCCTGTATTTTGGTCTATGCTTTGGTTTTTATACGTTTTTAGCAATGGAAACTAACTTTCAAACAATTTTTCATGGAACCATAATATTAATATATTAAGTAGATGGAACTGTTGTCATTGAGTATGGAAGTGTGAAGCTTGAACCCCACTGTGACCTTTCTTGTCAACCCTCCTTACTGCAGGTCAGTCCAAGTCACCTCTGCAATACCTAAAATTTGATGAACATAATTGAAAAACCACTGTAATATAACATCTGCTGTTGTATCAAATTTCACAGTTCCTCATCTTAACACCCCAAACAAGTCTATAGAATCTCCTCCACTAATAGATTGGGGATCAAAAAGCTCTTTTTAGTGCAGTTGTTCCTAACTCACAAGTGTACTACACTGGCCACCAACATACACTATGATAATTATGTTTGAAGAGAGAATCATGATGTTTATGGTTCCGATTCTTTCTTTATATCATTTCCATCATCACCGAGTCAACCCCTTATCAGCTTGTCACCTATACACATCTCCTTAAACCATACTTAATCTCCAAATAAAGACAATAACAAGGTTATAATTCCACCTAACATGATACAACTATACTGGGTACAACCAAAAACATACTAACTCCTTCTCCAGAAGAAGAGGTAAAGTCCTTGAGTGATAATTACTCTTCTTGATATCCTATAACTTAAATACTAAGATATCAAAATAACAATACTTAAATACTGTGATATAAAGTCAATACATCTTCTGTTACATGATAAGGGAAGAATAGAGGAAAGATACATTTTCATAACACAAATGTATTTATAACAAACTAAGGAGGAAATATTCATGACAATTGCAGTCTTCATTTCTATAACTGGTCACGTGGTTATTCCTGATCTATATAACTACCTTCTTCCACTACCCGTTGTGTTTTCCATTTGCCTTCAACAAGCACCCCACCTACTTATTGTACTTTACCTGGTAAGGTGAACCAAACCTTCCTTCTCGAAGGGTCTAGGCCATTAGTAGTCCTGCCTGGATTGGGTTGTTGTAGTTTTCCATTGACCTTAATCACAAGGCATGGAAATACTAAGAGATGCCCTAATAGATCACCTATATTCAGACACATTGTTTCTTACCGCTCTTGTGGACTGGTAGTGCAAGTTGTCTTTGTTAATCTGGATCTCTTGCCCCAGCCAGCACAGTAACTCCCTTCATTGACTGTAGATTCAGAGGAATGAGGAGCCCAAAGTGGCCAAGTGGCAGTCTTAACTTCCAGTTCGACAGAATCGTTGTGCTCCTGGGGGACACATTCATTCCTTT